ATAATACATTTTTCATAAAGTCTCGAAAAGAGGAGGTAACAACACCCCGCTTGCGCATCGGCCAAACTAGAATTACACATTCTTTCTTACTAACTAAAGGAGTTCAACCAGTGTGCCAAGAATGTAAAACAGCATTGTCCATTTAAACATATTTTGACAACGTCTAGAACTAGCTATATCAAGACAGCAACTTTACAATACTAATAACATATTTGATCTGTTCGAGAAAGTAAATGTGAAGGATATACTATCATTTCTGAAAATGATAGTATATCATTCATATTTATTTTAGTGGTCAGCCTCTACAAGGAAATATAAAACCGGGGAGGTTAACGATAAAACAAAGGTTTTTATAACAAAAAATATATCTACGAAACCAGACTTTCGATAAAACAAAAACCCTCTTTGCAGAAATAAAACTATATAGAGAATAAATATTTCTTGAATGAAAGATTACCATCAATGTAATTGTCTCTCGACAGTCCCTCCTTGCAAAAGTGTTAAACTTGATTTTAAAAACTGATTTTATTACAAAGTATTCATTCTTTTTATTCATACGTATCTATATATAAAAAAAATGTTGGCATTTTAGGCTGATATGTCATCAAACAAATCAAAAAATGAAAAACAAAGCGGCTACAGATCAACAGTCTAACAACTGAGACGACATGTCAGATTCTCTCACTGTTATTTGTGCCGCGTCACTATGTACCCGATCCTCTTATTCTCTGCCTTTACAAGAGTCAGATCCAACCATTGCAGCAATATCTGGACAGAAGCTGCCTAATTCTCACTTTAGAACCTTGATAGGTCAAACAAAAGCGTTTACGCAAATTATTTTCAATCCTAGCCCTTTTTCCATATAAGAGCATTAGCCTATTGCTAGCCACTTTGCGATTTGCAAAATAAATGTTAAGATTTTCTACACTCACCAGTTGAGATATTTCGAGCTAGGACCCACCAGGTCACGTACATAGGCAATTTTTCATTCCCTTCGTCATTATAAATAAAATCGGGGAGTAAGGCCTCTGATCGAGTGATTGGATGTTTTAAATTTAAATGCACCTCTTAATTGCTGTTATTCCCAGGTACACCTTGCCACGTGGAGAGCAAACAGTGACCAGCCCCAAACAAACAAAACAAAACACTCTGAAAGTATAAATATATCAGCAACAGATTTTTATATAGCAAAATTATCAATACATATTCATAGTAAAACGACCAATACATTTTATCTGCAAATGAAGGCATACAATTTCGTTCAAAATATTTAATTGAAGCCATAAATTAAAAAATATTTGGATTTCTGCATTAAATAATCCATAGTGGTTGATGTGCCGCTAAACAAAATCATTCAAATCACCATCATGAAAGAACTCTTTCATGACATTAATCCATGTAATATTCAACAAATTCTTAAAGAGATCAAAGTGTATTCCAAAACATAACTTCTACAAAACCACATATCACCACCTCTATTATGTCCACGCAAACATGTATATGCACAAAAGCTAAGTATCATCTACCATGTACTCAACTGTGAAAGCAGAATAATATATCACATTTTTATTACTTCAAAGCTCACAAGGAGCTCGGCATTAAATGATCCATAAGAAGTTAATATGCCATTAAACAAATCAACAAATCAATCCTTCCTTTCGTATCCCACTGGTGAAACTTGTCTCTTTTCCTTTTTTCTTGACAGACTAATTTAAAACAAACTGCTGGGACTTCACCAGTTCACCTTCACTCACTCTCTCTCGCAAGCACAACTTCACCTTCACTCTCTCTCTCCCCCTCGCTCGCCTTCACTCTCTCTCCCCCCTCGCTTCTATCTCTCTCTCTCCCCTCGCTCGCCTTCCTCTCTCTCCCCCCCTCGCTCGCCTTCCTCTCTCTCTCCCCCCTCGCTCGCCTTCCTCTCTCTCCCCCTCCCTCGCCTTCCTCTCTCCCCCTCCCCCTCGCCTTCACTCTCTCTCCCCTCGCTCGCCTTCACTCTCTCCCCCCCCTCCTCCTTCACTCTCTCCCCCCTCCCGCCTTCTCTCTCTCTCCCCTCGCTCGCCTTCACTCTCTCTCTCCCCCTCGCTCGCCTTCCTCTCTCTCTCCCCCCTCCTCGCCTTCACTCTCTCTCTCTCCCCCTCGCTCCTTCACCTCTCTCTCTCCCCCCCCTCGCCTTCCTATCTCTCTCTCCCCCTCGCTCCTTTTCACTCTCTCTCTCTCCCCCCTCGCTCCGCCTTCCTCTCTCTCTCTCTCCCCCCCCTCTCTTCCTCTCTCTCTCCCCCCCCGCTCACTTCCTTCCTCTCTCTCTCCCCTCGCTCCTTCCTCTCTCTCTCTCCCCCTCGCTCGCCTTCCCCTCTCTCTCTCTCCCCCCCTCTCCTTCCTTCTCTCTCTCTCTCCCCCTCGCTCGCCTTCACTCTCTCTCTCCCCCTCGCTCGCCTCCAGACACACATTCTGTCATACTTCTTTCCCCCACCAACCTCTCCATAAATATTTATCCACGTAAATATCTATCTATTGTTCTGCATATTAAAATATGTCTAAAAAAATCCTGGTCGTGTTGAATTTGCTTATGAAAATGTCGAATTCATTTACTTGTTTTCCACCTAAACATCGTGCAATACAAATCGTAGCACTATTCGCTACAAGGTATTTCCACGTCTTCGGCTCTCGACATTTCTTTAATGCTAGCAGTAATGTCGACTTGTTTATTGTAGTGATATACGTAAGCAAGGCCGCTCTTGAATAATAATAGGTTTATTAATTCTGCTGGTGAGCTGTCCCTTGCCGTGTTTTGACAGCAGAACAGTTGATGTTTGTGAGTTGGCATGTTAATTCCTCTTTCGTGCTAAGGTCGCAACGTAGGTCAGACGTCGGTGAGAATGCGTATCAAGATGAACCGGGTGTGGCTGCTTCCAGACGCCTCAATCCAAATAGGTTTAGCGGTTTTTTTCGGAGGCGGGGTTTATCTAACACCCCCCCTTATTATTTTTTTTTTTAATTTTTACAGAAAGTTATCAACACTGATCATTCCCAACAAAGATGTTCGACCAATGAAAGGTTGAAAGGTCTACAGCAAAGAGTAATTATTAGAGGCTATCTGCAAAATGACGTGACGCATTTTGTAGTCTGTCAGATCTGTAGCGAGAGAAAGTGTGACAGCGTTGCTGATGAGAATGAGCACTTTCAAAATAAGCAGTTAGGTCAAAATTAAACTAGCCGTATGATGTATTTGTGATGTCCACGTGGTTTGTTTGGAATTAAGTAGTTCGGTTTGCCGGAGGGAAATGTTTTCCTGGAAGAAGACTGGACACGTATGATACCTACAGTATCCCTTTCAAATGAACAAAATATGGGGAACTGAGTTATTGCTTCTTGTACCGCTGATTGCCACGACGTCTAACGGGCGTTCTGGTAGACAAGGTGATCTAAACACCTATAAATACGTCTCTATGTAAATAACGCTACCTACTCCACCATATCAAAATGTACGCTACTTGCCTCTTGGTATATAATGTTGAATCATTGTCGTTTCCGTGCGGGTTAATGAAACCCGCACGGAAACTGCTGCCAGTTAGAAGAAATTGAAAACATAACAGATTCAGTGTCTTTTCGGCACCAAAGCAGATTAGTTGTATAAATGAAAACAATTTTCTGCAAAATACCGAGATTGAGTTGCAATATTAACTCATTAATACATGACGCCCAAACAGATGAGCATTATCTTAATCAGCTTCGAGTACCAAGCTTAATACATTAGACTACAATATTTTTGTACAATAATGAAGGGTTCCAAACCCTTTGATAGGATACAAAAATATCATATATATATATATATATATATTTTTTTTTTTTTAAGCATTACGCCCCGAGCAAGGCGTGAAGCCACTAGGATGCAGGGAGTTGCAGAAGATTTGGAGCGAGAGAAGATAAAAGAAAGGATGAGGAGAAGGATAGTGGGTAGATCAAGGTAACTGAATAGTTGGAGATTATAGCTCTCAGGGAAACAGTAATTGGGAAAGGTGTTCCACAGGTGCGAGGTATGAAGCTATTGGAGTAGAAGAGACGGCTACATTTAAGTTTCTACAGTGTAAGGGTGGGAGCGGGATGCCAGCCTCGTAGGGCGCTTGAATTCATGGTGTCTGGAAACCAGTGAAAGCAGCTCATCGGAGCAATTACCATGAAAGTATTTGTAGAAAAGACAGGCGACGGCGCGTCTGTGAGAGAGTGACTGTAGACGAGACGCCAGATCAGGGCCAATTATATTACATATCCGTCTCTGGACCTTGTCAAGAACTCCGAGGTAAACAGAAGGTGCCCCAGACCATATATGGCAGCAATACTCCATGCAAGGGCGAATGGTTGATTTGTATATTTGAAGTATCGATTCCGGGGAGAAAAATTTCCTGGCGCGGCACAGAGCCAACTTTCCTCGCGGTGGAAGAAGCAATTGATTCAATGTATTTGTTCCATCTCAGGTCAGCAGTCAACGTGAGACCGAGCAGACGCAGGGAGTTGCTCTCAAGAAATTGACTATCAGACATTCTAATGGGGGGGGGAGGATCTCTATGGTGATTAATAGAGTTTAGTTTAGTTTTTGAGGCGTTAAAGTTGACCAGCCAATTCTTGCCCCAATTAACAACCGATTGGAGGTCTATTTCAAGACGCACGGCCAGGTTAGTTTTGTCACCGACACTAGATTTGTTTTTGAGGCAGGAGTAAAGTGTCGACCGCGTAGATGCCAACTTAGGAATCTATGGCGTCAGGAAGGTCGTTGATGAAAATAAGGAATAAAGTGGGGCCAAGGATGGAGCCTTGGGGAACACCTGCGTTCGTGGGATAGGAACTGGAGGAGAATCCGTTGAGAACGACCTTTTAATTCATGGTTTGACAGGAATCATATGTTAGGCTTCGTATCCGGAACTGTGTTAAGGGGAATGCATAACTTGGTTAAATTATAAAACGCATCTTTTTCAATATAAAGAATGTTTGAAGAAATGAAGACCACTTGGCATTTCTAAAAATTGTCCTAAGAGTGTTTAGTTTGATTCACCTGGCGTCATGTCCATACTCCTCCCTGCCTTTAGATAAGGAGGCTTATCTTTTGTTACTTGTCTGGGATTGGGTTTCTGGTTCCTGCTTAAGCTATATACTCCTAACGCTTTATTTTTTACGCTGATATGCCCACACAATAACACTCTACCTTCAATTGCTCTTGAACCTTGTATTATGTGAAAAAAAAGTCCCTACTGAATTATATACACGTACTCGGTATGAATACCTTTTTCTCTGATAAAAAGAAGTGGAAAGACATTAAAAGGAAACATACGCTACACACACACACACACACACATATATATATATATATATATATAAGAAAAATAGACCACTTTAAGTTACCATTATAATAATTTAAAAGACGCCGGATCATTAGATAGCACTTCCAAAAATGAAATGAAACGAAAAATGAAATTAAAATTGATGGGTAGTGTAAGTTTTTGTAATTTAACAGTGTAAAAGGGGTAGTTAAAGAGACATGGTAGAGTATAGGGAGGGATTAATTTCATATCTCTCTCAAGCATACTTTGTATTGGGGGAGGAGGAGTGACCTGACCTTGACCTGTTTAGACGGTTAACTTAACGGAAGTGATATATTGAAATGAAATGAAATGGGAGGGGAGAAGGGAGAAAAAAAAAAAATACAGAAAAGTTCTTCATACAGATTATATATATATATATATATATATATATATATATATATATATATATATATATATATATATATATATATGTGTGTGTGTGTGTATATTTAGCTGAAAACGAAATTTCCTAAGATTTTTTTTTCCTATTAAATTTTTCTGGTTTCTGCGGAAAAATTGAAACAAACCTCTTTTCTGGCCGTTTTCGTCTTTCATAATCCGTCATCAAACAGTTGTATTTTTTTGTTGATAGACTTGTCTGCGTGTGCATTTTTTTTTCTTTGATAGACTTCCGGTATAGCGTCAGATGGTGTCGTGTCAGTATTTTGAAGTATCGTGTGTTCACAAAAGTAAAACCCGCTTTAATAACATTTTGTGTTCAGATTTTTCCCGGCAAGCACGTCAAAGGATCTGAACCGTATAAAAAATGTAATTAAAAACAAAAAAAAATATTTTCATTGGTTTTTAACCAAACGAGCATAACTAAAAAATGGTTACTAAAATACAGACATAATAATTTAAAATTCAATTCCCGAAATAAGCGCGACGTCACAGGTAAGGAGTCGATCAGAAATTTGTACGAGAGCACCTATGGGCCTTTTCCAACTACTGCTGACTATATGAATCATTTGTTGTAGAGCAAGTTGTAAGTATTATTTTATACTGATGGCTTAAAATGGGTGAACGAAATAAGAGATAGCTTAACATCATCTATATGAAATTTGGCAAAAGTGCTAGTGAAAAGTTAGTCTTAATAAAATAGTATTGGAATCTGTCTACCCAGGTTTTTGTTGCTATCCGGATGTGGGGATTCCAAACATTTAACACTTCTTTCAAATGAGACATAAAAAAGGTTATTTTCTGTAATTGAAGTAAAACGTTAGTTGAAATAACATTTTATATAATCTTTTCAGAAATATACAGTAGCAGTAAAATGTTCAATTTTCCTTGCAGTGAAGTCTGTTTTATCAAATAAGGTTCAATAGGCGGGTGCTAGTTAATCACTTCTATTGTGTGTGTGGACAAGGCCTTAGTCGGTGGCTGCTGCTTGTCTGTCTCGCATTATGTGCCTGTGTGTGTATACGCACATATAGATGAAACTGGCTCCAAGAAATAATATGCATCAATTTTTATATCCATAAGGGGATTTAAAATTGGTTTTCATTGGTTAGAAAATAATTTAACAATGTTTTTTAGTTTTTTTCTGGAATTTGCAGAAGTGGTGAAGGGAGGTACTATTATTATCTAAATGATTAAAAAATAACGTGTGATTGGTCTACAAGTACGTCCACGAAGTATTCTGGCGGTATTTGCCCTTATAATGATTGGTTACTCAAAAAACCGTGTGATGGGATTTTATTGGTTGAAAAATATGTAGAGAATTTAATTCCTATAATAGTATATAGTAAATATACCATAAGAAAATGAAGCAGTTCAGGAAAGGTCAGGAAGTATAGGCACAGTGAAGCAGATTCTAACACGGTATTTAGGAATTCAAAATTCCACGTGCCCTGTTTAATGGATATCAGTTATCTCCTGTTAATTCCCCTTTCCAAGTTCTCCACTGCCTTAACCGTGTATTGGACTCACACTCTTTGGGTTCTGTCACTGGATCTAACCAACGCCTTTACCCACTGGGCCATGTGTTCTCAAGACACTGTTATGCATTAAGCATGGCACGTGGAACTAGAACAGTCTACCCCAGTGAGCGAAATAAAGGGTTCAGTTCGATATTCCAGCCACCTGAAGAAGGCCAGAGCGTACAACGGCCGAAACTTTGTAATAAATATGGCGACAAAGATGAGGA